GGCCGCCGCCCCAGCTCTCGATGGTGCGCGTGGCGCGGTCCAGGGAGCTGCTCACGCCCGCCGTGGTCACCATGTCGCGCGCCGCCTGCAGCATCTTGAGCACGCTGGCCTGGGCGGCGCCGTCCGTGAGGTCCGGGCTGGGCGGCCGCGCGGGGCTGGCCAGGCTCTGCACCCCGCTGAAGCAGCTGTAGATCCCCGGGGCAGGAGAGAGGTGACAGGCCGTGAGCGGAGCCACCTCTCAGAAAGCCGCCTCGGCTCTCCCTGGGACGTTCGGAAGCATCAGCCTCCGAAGTCCCAGGAAGTAGCTGTTTGTCAAGCACCTCCCGTGCCAGGCACTGCGCCGCTCTACAGATTAGTGGGACTCTAAGGCTCCCAGAGGTTAACCCATTCTCCTGCTCACACTAGCTAGTAAACGGCACAGTGAGGGACCCACCCTGGTCTGCCTGTTGGAGAAGGGCTCTGCTCATTTACTCCACCATGCCACAAGCCACATCACCTCTGGGGACCTCGGTTTTTACATCTGTAAATGGGGCTGTGGCCAGCTCTGACTTAGCTGGGTCGGCGCCCCTAAAGCTGGGGCCTGTGTGGGGAGGGAGGGCACCCACCCTGCTGAAAGCCAGCAGGAAGTCCAGCTGGGACGTGTTGGGCACTGAGTGGCGCAGCTTCCAGTAGACCAGGTGCTCCCAGGCGAAGACCAGCAGGGCCAGCCCCATGGCCACAAGGAGCATGTAGAAGACACCAGCCATGTTGTCGATATCCAGTTTGCTGCTCACCGCCTCGTTCTTCTCGTTCTGGCAGATCCCAGACAGCCACACCGTCTCCAGCTTCTGTGTCTCTCCTGGGGGGCACATCTGGCTCAGGGAACCCCCCATGAAGAACCACCCCCCCCAGCTCACCACAAGCCTGGAGCGACGAGGGTCTAGAGCCAGAGTGTCACCCCCCTTGTTCCTCAAGTAGGACCAAACAGGGATCCAGCCCAGCAGATGCAGGATGGGGAGAAAGGGGCAGGGTCAAACAGCAAGAAGAAAGAAAAGCAGAGTGGAAGCTGGGGTGGGCAATGCCAGCCTTTGGGTCCTCCACCTGCCCACCTCCAGTAAAGGGCACCCACGTGTCCAGGAGGTTGCTGATGGGGTAAATTTCAGCATTCTCTCATTCATTCATTCACCATCATCATACACTTACTGACCACCTATAGGCCAAGCATAGAGCTGGTCAGAGAAAGACAAAAGACCTAGGCCCCTAGGAGACCACAAACACCCTCATTATTATCGCTGTCATTGTTATATGGCGTTGACGAGAAATCAGTTTTTTATCTATTAAGGATGGAACTCCTCTCAACTCAAAGTTCTCTGTGGGGTTGGGGGCAGGCAGGGCTGAACCACTGACACGTGGGACTAGGCAGGTCTTTGGCATGACCCAGCTCATCTCAAGATGGAAATGGGGGAAGGGGAGATCATAGTAGGCAAAGAAGGTGTTCATCTGGGAAAGGTCATGGGAGAGGGCTTGGGGGAAAAAGAGTTCAGCCACCCGCAAGCCCCACTGTGTGGTCTGAGCTCCTTCCCGTCTCCCTGCCCTTCAGGGGTTCCCAGCACTAGTTCTTGCTCCCTCCCTGCAAACCCATCCGTTCCCCTGGTCACCATCCAGCTGCTGCTAATACCCCCCTACCAATTGCCCCAAACTCCCCCCCACCCCGAGAACTCTCCCTGCCCACAGGTCCTGGCTACACAGAGGACAGTGGCAGAGACGCTGATGACCCAGCTCCCTGGCCCACCCCAGCCCTCAGCAATGGCAGCACCTACCATCCCCCAGGAACTGCAGGAGCGCCAGATCTATGGCCCGCTTCCAGTGGGAGTCCTTCTGCATGGCGATGCCATAGCCAGTGGTGGCAAAAACCTTGCCAGATCCAATGGTGACCAGCATACAGCCCTCATCCTTGCCCGCCATGTAGTTGAGGACAGCGGCATCATAGATGAAGGCGTCCAGCTTCCTAGGGACAGGCTGAGCCCTTAGGATCAGGGACCATGCACATGGGAGGGGGACACCAAACCTGGGGCCTGCCGGGCACCACCCAGGAGGGACGGATGGGCGGAGCCTTCTCTGGTTCCCTCAGGTCCTGGATGCAGTGAGGACCCCTCCTCCTCAGAGAGGCCAGGGGACTCTCTGCCCTCAGAGGGCATGCACCCTCTCTGCTCAGCCCCTCCATGCTCCTAAGACTCAGAGAATGTCACAACCACCACCTCAGGCCAAGGCTGAACTTTGGACAACACCACAGCTGTGTTTCTGGGCCACGTGATGGGCATCCACTTTTGTTTCAAGCTGCACCCTTCCCCATGGCCTCCCCAGGCATCCTACAGGACAGCCCAGCCAGCCCCACTGTCCCCACACTGGGTCCTCAGGAAGGGACAGAGCTAGGGCTGGTCACTGGGGAGATGCATGGATGGAGACAGTCAAGAGTGTGGGCGCAGGGCTGGGGACCCACCCCATCTTGAGGCTGGTAAGTGCATCCTCCACTGAGTGCTGGTTGAACTTGACCATGTGGCTGTGCATGTCACGGTAGTTGCTGCGGATGTTCCGCTCTGTGCTGCCGTTGGGCACTGTACCGAAGCGGAAGGGTGGGTACTGATCCTGAGGCCGCTGAAACTGCAGGCAGAGGGCGGCAGAAGCCATTCGTAGCCCTTCCTCCCACCTTCCAGACACCAGGGCCCCCCCACCCCCGTCCCCAGAGCCCAGCCCCACAGCCTGGACCTGCAGAGTCAGGGCAGAAAGATCTCAGACACTGTCCAGGCCACTCCTGCAGTTTACACATGGGGACTCTGAGGCCCAGGACAGGAGAGACTTGCCCACAGCCACTCAGCCGGTGGACTTGAGCATCTCTCTCCCGTCCTCCTCCTCACCAGGCCCCCTAGCTTCTTCCTGCTCCAGCCTCCAGTTCAAAATCCCCAGACTCCCCACTGTCCTATGTCTGCCCACCCAAGGCCTGTCCCACCCTCAGTGTCCCCCCACCCTTCACCATCCATGGCCCCAGAACCTTCTTGTCACTGAGGCCCGACACAGTGTCAATGTACTGCTCCTGGATCATGAAGGCAGCCAGGTTGGCAGTGTAGCTGGCGAGGAAGATGACGGCAAAGAAGGCCCAGACCAGGACCATGATCTTGCTGGTGGTACCCCGGGGGTTCTCGATGGGCACCGAGTTGTTGAAGACCAGCGCCCACAGCAGCCACACGGACTTGCCAATGGTGAAGGATGGGCCCCCGGACTCTGGGAGCAAGAGGGTGGACACTGGGCCTCCTCTTACCCACCACAAAAGGGCCCAGGTCTCAGCCCACCTGACTCCACCGCTCCTGTCTCAGCCCTGCCTGGGGGGAGACCCCAGCCCTGGCCATCCGCACCCCAGGTCAAGTCAGCTCACTCTTGTGTGGGTGTGGGTGTCTCTTGTATCTGAATGGCCTACACGTGCTGTCCAGAGGCCAGGGACTTCCCACAGGAGCCAGCATTCCCTGAAAGCCCCCCATCCCTGAGCCCACCCTCTGGGTGCCCAGGTGAGAGCTCACTCTTGCCTCTGGTGAGATGCTGGTTGTAGCTGACGGGGCTGAAGTACTCAAACATGAAGACAGTGATGGCCACCACGGTGAGGCACATGACAAACATCATCACCCACACTGCAGGGCTGTAGGGCTCTGGGGACAGAGTGGGGTGGCTCAGAGGCCTCAGTGCAGCCCCACCTACTCATGGCCCAGAAGCACTGCGTGGAGCCGAGTGGGTCCACATGGTCAAAGGGGGGCCCCGCCAGCTCTGTGGACTGAGCCAAGGGGACCTCTGACTCTCTGAGCTGCAGAGCCCCCGAGAGACCCCCTGAGGGATGCCAGGCCCCAGCATCCTTGGTCTCCTCCATTCCCCCTGCCCTGGGACGGGTGCACGTCGGCCCACCCTAAGGAACCTTCCTTTGACTTCACAGCCCCTGCCCAGCCCAGCGTGCTCTGATTGTTCTGCCTGGAATCAGAGCATCTGAGGTGCTCATGCTACTGACATGGAAACTGAGGCCCCAGGAACCGACCGAGGTCTCAGACAAAATCATTTCAGCCTCGTGGAGAAGTCGTCACTGCTGCAGGCTCTTTGCTGTGATGGCCATCCTGTGAAGTGGGCTTTCTTCTCTGTGGTTGAGGATCCCGCTCTGAGAGCTTCAGTGACTTGTCCAAGGCCACATGGCAGGAAGGCGTGGACTTGGGATCCTGCTTCTGTTTAGCCAGGCCTGGCTCCTGCTCCGTGCCTCGCCTGCCCTCACAGTGCCCCCTCACTCTGCAAGTCCCACCCAACCTCCCGACTAGGTGCTCTGGGAAGGCAAGGGCTATGGCCACATCCCCAACGCCTGGCAACGGGCCTGGCATGCGGGGTGCCCTCCACATGCTGCATCCCTAATCCAGCAGGGAACCCGCACCTCTTCCCACACTGGCGGTCGGCTCCTCCAGCTGCCCTCAGAGCTTCTCCCTAGTTCCACCGTCCCAGCCCATGACTCTCCTGATGCCAGCCTGCCTTCTTCGTTTTCCTGTCCTTCTTGGTGGCACCACGATCCCCCTATCCCACCCAACACAGGCTTAGAACCAAACATCAACTTCCCTTCTTCCCTCTCAGTTCTACTCGCCACCGGCCAGCATCTGAGACACCCAAGGCTGCTGTGACGGCCACTGCAGGCCCAGCCCAAACTCCCCATCTCCACCCAGGCCCCACCCATCCCCCTGGCGGGCCCCTCTGCCTGAGCCATCCCTGCCCACCCCGAGCCTCACCCAGGAAGGCTGAGGGGGAGACAGTGCCATTGCTGCGAGCCACCATCACGCTGATGCCCGTCTCCACAAAGGGCACAGAGAAGTCCACAATCTCAGAGCGTTCCTCGTTGATGGTGAGGGAGCCGATGGCCATGTCCGCCCGCTTGTAGTACACCTGGGGGCCATGGGGGGATTACGGAAGGCACTCCAGGGGCTGGAGCATTCTCCCCAGGCTCCCCCAGGCACCTCTTGCAGACCCCGCCAGCTGAGTCAGTTGTTCCCACCTGGGGTCCTCAAGGCTCAACTTTCAGGACTGACCACCCAGGGGTTATTGCTGGTGACAGCCTAGCCTCCCCCTCTAGGGTGGCTGAGAGATGCATGGGGCCTGGGCAGCAGGTGGGCAGGCCGGGGTGGACCTCGGGGCGGGCCTACCTCCCCGATCATGCCATTCCACACGCCGCGCACCCTCTTGCCATGCTTGCCGTTGGTCACCAGGTACAGGTCGTAGGAGAACTTGACCGCTTTGGCCAGCTTCTTGAGGATGTCTATGCAGAAGCCCTTACAGCAAAGCTTGGTGTACGGGGCTGCATCACCGCTGCTGCAGCCACCACCGCCAAGAGACAACCGAGAGTCAGAACGCGTCGCAGCCTGGCCCGACCCCCGGAGCTCCTCCCAGCCAAGCATGTGGACCCCGCCCCCAAACCCAAGCATAAGGCACAACACCCGGCCATCCACGGCAGCACACAGCTCCACCACGCCTCCCGTGTGTTCTCGCGGACCTGAAGGTGTGGTTGCCCTGCCTGCGGCAGGGCACAGTGTTGGGTACGCAGCCACCCGTGCCAGGATCAGGGCTCTCCACAATGACAAAGGGCCGCTCCTCCAGCGTGGCCACCGTCAGGTGCCGGCTGTCCACCACGGGCTGCAGGGAGGCACTGTAGCGAGGCCACACCGGGTACTTCATGTGGAGAATGCCATGCTCCCAGCGCCCCACCTGCAGAGGGTGACTGGCCTCAGCCCGGGACCTCCAGCCCTACTACTCCACCCTCTACAAGGGGCCTCTGGGTGGGACCTGCCAGGATCAAGAATCTCCCTCTCTCAACTAGGGGTGCTTAGAGCAGGACAGAGGAGGGCCAGGGGCAGGAGCAACTGGAGGACCAGAGAGTCAGGCAAGAGGCCGAGCATGGGCCAGAAGGGCCGGCTCCCTTCTGGTGCCTCCTCCAGCCTCTGTCCCTGGGCTCTCCAGTCCAGCCTCCACACTGCTACCAACTCACAGCAGCCTCCAAAAGCCCACACCCGCCCCGTCTCACCATGCTCGCTTCCCCATGACCTTAGCCAAGTAGTCAGGGTCCTTCACCCTCGGATCCAACATACCCCCATCGCCCCACCCTTTTTCCTCAGTCTCCATACCCCCAAACACATCCACCAAATCACTTAAAAATGCCCCAAACCCTTCTGCCCCTCTGTCTACACCAGGCTAGCACCCCTTCCTGGTAGGCTCCTACTCAAGCCTCCACAGCCCAGCTCAAATGTCCCATCTTTCGTGACACCTTCCCCAGTTTCCTCCTTTGAAGGCAGAACTGATTCCTGCTTCTCCTCTCTCCTCCCATAATGTTTTGCACACATCGCTACTCCAGCACTGGTCTCTCTGTTCCCCATTTGTCTACACGTCCCGGGCCAGGGCTATGTGACAGGACAGCTTGGTAACTCTTGTAGTGGAGGGAAGCCAGGTGCTACGGGAGCCCAGAACAGGGGTGTCTCACCCACCCTGGGGGACCAATGGAGGGGATGTTGCAGCTGAGACCTGAAAAATGAGGAGCTGGATAAGGGACAGAAGAGACTCTGTTTAGCTGTGGGCTCAAGAGGGGCTGGGACCATATGAGAGGAAACCGAGGGCCCCCGGGCTCACCCCCTTCTCACCATCTCCCAGAGGCGGTGCCGGTTGAGGGCGATCACAACCATGGTGGGCTGGACCAGGTACCCACCAGGGCTAAAGGAGAAGTCTCGGCCCTCCCAGGTGACATTCAGTAGATGCCTGTGAGAGGGGAGAGAAGCCAGGGTGTCCCCACACCCCAGTCTGTGGCCCTGCCAGGACCAAACACCCCCTGCCTCTGCCTCACCACCACCACCAACAGCAGGTAGCATCTATTGTGTATTTATTGTTTGAAGTGTTTCCCTGTATTGGCCTCCTAATCCTTGCTGGATTTTTCAGCAAGGCCCAGAGACGTGAGATGACTTGGCCCCAGGCACACGGCTAGTGGGAGATGTGGCCAGCAAGCCCAAACTCACTGCCACCCAGGTCCCCTCAACTACCCCCCACACCCCCACGCCCTGGGCAGGTGCCCACCTGTAAAAGGCCTCCCGGGCAGAGCTGACGGGCCCGAGGTGGCCGCGGCAGTCCCCAGCCGGAAAGGGCAGAGCTCCGTGCTGGCGCCTGTAGCTGTGGGCGCCCAGAGCCAGGATGGCCACGCCGTCGCGGACCTTCTGGCGCAGGCTGAGGCGCCAGCTCTCGGTGACGACGCTGATGAGGCCCACGGGGAAGGCGGCGGGGGGCGCGTCGGTGCTGCCCAGCGCCAGGCTGGGCACCAGCCACC